CGGGTCCGCACCCAAGCAGTTCAATCTAGAGCCCATCTCGAGCCTTTGATAGCGACTCGGGCAAAGGCTCTTCATAAAGCAGAGGCACAGGGCATGCTCATCGTCAAGCTCCTTACAGGAGCAGCGACGCACCGTTGCGCTCAGTGTGGGCACCTCTGCTCTACGCCGTCGGCCCTGGCAGCCCACTGCGAAAAGGTCCACGGACAGCGTGCGCCCTGTCGCAGTGCTATCGGAACATCCTGCCAGGCCTGTTCCCAGGAATTCTGGTCGACATCTCGATTGCGTGAACACTTGCGTCGAGCGCGGTGTTGCAGTGCTACATATGTCGGCGCAGACCTCGATCCCCAGCCGGACGAGGAGCTGGGTACCAAGCAGTGCCCAGTACAGCCCTTTCATGGCCCTCGCCCATTCTGGGCAACGCTCCGCCCTGCGCCAGAGCAGGCCAATACCCCGACTCCCTCATCCGCCGCAGGTTCCCTGATGCAGATGTTAACAACGGTCCACGAAGTGGCGGATCTACCATCGCTTTTCAAGCGGTGGTGGCAGGTTACTGATAGCGATGAGGTTGAGGCGACCCGGTCCCAGGTGATTTCGCTCCCTAGGGATTCGATGTCCCCGGCGTGCAAATTTGCCGCCGTGTGGATCCAATTTTGCTCCGCGACCACATGGGTGTCGCCTTTTTCGGCAGAGGGACTAACTGCAGTACAGAGCTCTGATAAGCTGATGATTGCTGAAGACAGCGTCATCCAGGAGCTGCGCAGTTCAGTCACCGATGCCATGCTGTTTGCATGAGAGAATGCAAGGCGCGTCGACAGACTCGAGCCAATCCCGAAGAAGAAGAAACCCTAAACCCTAAACCCTAAACCGTTATTTGGTAGGGCCTCTAAACCCGAAACCCATGCTCTCCGGACCCCAAAGCGCTGGCAGCGAGTGGTTTGAAGCTTGACATGGAATTTCCGGGCATGTAGTACACCCAGAAGTCATAAGCAGACCCTGGCGCACCACCACCTGCTTTTCCGTGGGGTCCTTATAGATTATATCTTCATCCCAAGACCATTGCCACATCATAAGACCTACAGACCCTGCAACAGGTCATGCTTAGGGGTAGTCGCAGGTACAGGAAGGGTTTCCGCGTTGAAATTGTCGAGCTGCCAATGTCCCCACACCTCAGCTGCCCGCAGATTACGTTAGTGACTGTACCGGTGACATCGCCGTAGGCAAAAACGCTGAATATGCGCATCTACACACACATATGTATAGAGAGAGAGACATTCATACATACACAAATGCATATATACATCTCCGTATTTACGTACATGTAAGGTCAAGGGTTCAGGGTGCAGATGTTGGCCTGTTGAAGGATGGAGGTGTTTAGGGTTGATCCGTTCCATTTATAAACAATTCCTACAGGGTGCTGAGTTTCGGGCAAAATTCAAAGCGACACGAGGTGATGCATCGGCAAACAACCGTCGATTGCAACCCGGCTGCAAAACAGGCATGTGTGCAAGCCTCAAGCTCTCAGCCTAACAACTTTTAGCCATAAACGCCCGTTGGCCTAGAAACCCCTGAAGGATAGTGATGTTGGAGGTTCGCGATTAAAGTTCAATCAGGTGCCCTTTGTACTGCCAGATTAAGGTTTGGAGGTTTGTAGAGCCATCAAGGGCTTGAAGTTGTTGCGGTTTTAAAAGGTCTTCGGTCAACTTCTTGCTGGTGTTGCCTCCCCTTTCGAGTGCTTGTTCGCGGCGCATCTGCACTATCTTGGACAACGCCGAGCCTTGAAACTCTGAAAACCTAGCTTGACCCTAAGTGGCAGCTGCACTGCAACAAGCAGTGGCCCGTCATTTAGAACCATGGTCGGATCCTTCGATTAAGGACCTGTCAACTGTACAGGTTGCTATCCTAACCTAGCGGACCAAACTCTCAATCCGAAGCTAACCCCAGCCCCGAAAACAGCCCAAACCTGCAATGCGAGCTTCGTCCTTGCTAGGTAGGGGGGAAACCTCAACCCTAAATGCCAGTCCCTAAAGCCTAAACCTGCAACCTGCAATGTGGGCTTCCTCCTTGCTGTAGGAAGGAGGGGAAAATAGCCTAAACCTCAAACCCCACCCCCTTAGCTGCTATAAGTGGGAAAAGGTGTTCAAAAATCCCGGTCCCCAAAGCATAAACCCGAAACCCCACCTGCCACCTGTAGCCGAAAAGACCTACCCCTTTTCCAGGAACTTTGTATAGCAACCAGCATAAGGAAACCTAAAAGGTAGGTCTTTCCGGCTACAGGCAGTCCCTAAACCCTAAACCCCGGTCCCTAAACCCCTAAACCCCTTTTCAAAAAAACCCTAAACCCCAAACCCCTAAACCCTAAACCCCTAAACCCTAAACCCCCAGTCCCTAAACCCTAAACCACGAGACATCGATCACCGAGGCTCCTGAAGGTCACCGTGGAAGTGACAGCAGGGGGCTTGGGTTTTTTGGGGCTTCGGGGTTTATACCCGACAAGTAGGTTTTGGAAGTGTTTAGGGTTTACCTTAACCCGGAATAACCTACCATTTCAAGTACATGTATACGGAAATCATAGTCGTGAACCTTAAAAAGGTAGGTTGTTCGAGGTTTAAGGCTTAGGGGATAGGGTTTAGGCTTTATAGGGTTTATGGCTTAGGGTTTCTGGATTTCGGGGTTTAATAAATGGGCCGAAAAGTTACCAATACTATTTTGGTGGATATTTCTCATAGTTATAGAATAATATTTGCTCGTCCAGACGTTCAGTCCGCACACACCCTAAAACCATGTTCGAATTTTTTACAGCCCCTATAGTAGGGAGTCGCAGCAGGCCAGTTGCCAAAGGGTTGAGGGATCCGCTGCTTGTAATGCTGAATCCGCCCACAGAGGCCCAAACCTGTCTTTACGGTTTCGGGAGTTTGGATTTGAGGACTTATATAGGACCTAGCATCAAGCAGGTGGAAGGGAAGCGTGAGCCAGATCTGCACCGGAACACCAAACCCCAAACTCCGAGTTTGCAACACCTTGAGCCCTGCACCCCAAGGCCTTCAACTCTACAGACCCCATAAACCGAAAATCACCCAACGCAAAAAAACCCACCTCAAAAGCCACAGAAAACTTGGCCTTCGAGACATCGTTCATCCCAAACTCCTTTCTTTGATCACTGGAATTCGGGTTTTGCTGTTGCCGCTGCTGATTCTGATTATTATCTTTGTATCTGAGTGCGTCACCTTTCAAGTTTTGGTGCAGATACAATTATCCCTGCCAGGTCAAGAGTTGGGAGTTTCCAATAGGAGGGGTACCTTACATGGGGTCCTATGGTGAGAATCCTAGGCTATATTGGGGTCCCCTATTTTCGGAAGCTCCCAGTTCGCCTTTTTGACCGGAGGTCCCGGGCCTGGGCTCAAATTCGCTGGTTTTGCGCCGTACGATAAATGGGAGTTTCCGAAAAATTGGGGGTACCTTAGTTTAGGTCCTTTTTCTTAAGGATCCTACTAATAAGGGTACCAGATTAGGGTTCCCCGATTTTCGGAAACTCCCAAATCTTCCTGAAGGGCTTTGAGCCTCGTGTCTTCTCGCTCGCGCGGTGTTGTATCGGAAATCCAACATCCTGCAAGTCCTTTAGCCACGGACCCCATATGCCCTATGATCCTTGAAATCTCGAGTCAGTCAGATAGCAACCCGGACTGAGGTGTCCTAAACCCCTAGGCGCTAAACCCTAAGCCCCTTACCCCTAAACCCCTAAACCCCTATAAACCGAGTTGCGAGAACGTAAACCCCTATAAACCCTAAACCCTAACCCCCTAAACCCTTAAACCCTAAACGCTAACCCTCAACGGACTGAGGTGTTTTGTTTGGAGTCGCATCTCCCATGGCCCTCCAGGGCGCTTCCTCAGACCCGAGAGCCTTAAACCCTAAACCCAAAACCCTAAAGAAAGAACCCCAAAACCACCTAATTAAGGAATATCGACTTTAAATTATAGCCATCATATGATTTAAATTCTTTAATTAAGGGAAGACGGAGTCTCTGGGAATAAACAGCCCCAAAACTCCAAGTGACCATGGCTTCCCCCCAGTCCGACAAGCATGAGCCCATCTTCGTCCACGAGGGCGATCGGGTCTCCGGCTCAGTTTCGGGTTCCAGAACAGCCCAAAGCAACAACTCGATGTTGGCGCCTTCCTTGGTGCTCCTTAGAGACTCCAGTAGCCAATATCCCTTAATTCAGGAATATGCCGAAAAGCATATTAGGGATCCTACTATACTTCAAGGTAGATTCCTTAATTAAGGTGTCTATAGAAACCCAGGTGGATGCTTAAACCGAGTGTGCTTATTCTGCGTCTAAGCACCTTCGTGTCTTGGGGTTTAGGGGATCCCTTTGCCAGACGTCGGGGGGACTACTAGGAACCCTAATCCCTAAACCCTAAATCCCTAAACCCTAATCCCTAAACCCTAAACCCTAAATCCCTAAACCCTAAATCCCTAAACCCATAAAACCCCCAAAACCCCTAAACCCAGTTTAAGGAAAGACGGGAGCCCTGAAGCCTGAACCCGGATGAGGCTCCCGAAGTCGGGGGTACCAAAGTTACGGCATTGAGGGTTCGAACACTAACTTGAACCATAAGCCCGGAACCCTAAACCCAAACCAAAAACCCCAAACCGTTAGTCCCTCAAATTGCAGTTCTGAGCTTTGGAGCATTTCGAGCGTGGACTTTCGCTACATCCTGGAGCAAACCAAATGGGATATCATAGGATGGATTTTGGTTTGGGGGTTTAGGGTTTAGGGATATGGCTTTGTTGGTTCGGCTTTTCTACACCCACATCGACAAGCACGAAGCACTTGCTGCCTTAACTTGGGATGTAAGCCCTCACACCCCAATGCCGAAACGTAAGACATTAGAGGATGACGGGTTGCTAGGCGCGGCCCAGATCTGAAACAAAGCGTCCTGGCGATAAGGCGGAGGCTTTGGCCATTCAGTTCTGCAAAGAGCATGAGCTGCAACCAGAGATGGCGCATGCCCCAGGATGTGGGTTCTGTTTATGGGGTTGTTGCTTTAGGCTTGATTAGGGTTCAGGGCTTTAGGCTGGATTTGGTTTTCATGGTTGACCTTTTGGCTACGTATTGGAGCTTTCGTTGAGGTTTTGCGTGCCGGTGATTTCTAGGGTACGGGTATCGGAAACCCATTGATTCCTTAACGCGTTCGAGTCTTGGGGTCTAGGATTTGGGGCTTCGACTCTGCATCCCAGTCCCTTTATCGGGAAAGCCTTCGCACTGGGCCACCCCACCGCAATAAAACTGGGAAAGTCTGCGCTTGGTAAAGGTAGGGTGTACTTTTCTTCTCTATTGCCACTTTTGGAGAATCTCGCTCTTGCGCCGCAGGCTTGTGCTCCCGCCACTGCCGTGTCTCTTGCGCCTGCTCTTGCTGTTGCCCCTTGCTCCAGCTCTTGCTCTTGTCCTTATCCTGCTCTTGTTCTTGCGCCTGAACCCCCTAATGCAAAATCGAAATGGTTGCGCAAGGTGGGGATGATGTCAGGAGGTTTTCCTAAATGGGGGAAGGGGTAAGTGATTAAACCAACAAATAAATACATACATATATATATATATATATACGTGTCTAACAACATCTGCACATATAGAAACACGCAAGCTCTACCTATCTCCATCCCTACAGTGGCATAAGCATATTCACTGCATCATTATTGCAAAAAAAGCATGAACAGATTCTGCATGCACGGATCCCTGCTGGCTTCTCGCACTTCCCTCATATGGTGCTCTGAACCGATTATCGCAAGCTCTAGAAATGCTTTGCACAAGATCTGCCTGGCCCACTAAATGCTCCAAGGAAAAGGGCGCCTTTCTCAGTTTTTGAATTTTGTCCGCAAATGCAGACAACAACGGCAACCCTAAACCCTAAACCGTGAACCCTAAACCTTAAACCCTAAACCCTAGGTAGCTTTTGTTTGGGTCTGTGAACTTTGCTCTACGGGTTCGGAGCACGCAGCTTCAGGATTCCGGGGGCAGGGCTTAGGATTGGGAGTGTTTGTGAGAGGGGTCTAGGGTTTAGGGGGTGCTAAACCTCTGAACCGCTCAAGCCTACACCCGAAAGCCCTGACAGCCGAGGTGCAACCTCTCACTGAGCACATCTTGGAGAGTCTTGCTCGGCATCTTCTAGGATGCCCAGTAGTACCCTTATTCCCTTTTTGTAGTCCTAGGTTCCTTATAAAGTTACCCAATACCAAAAAGAGAGGCCTTTTTATTCTTAGGTTACTGGGTATCCTAGTCTAGCTGCTGGGGTTTCGGGTTTCCCTGAACAGCTCTCGGCTGCTTTGAGTCCTGTGGCTTAGAGTTCCGGGATTAAGGGCTTTAGATGTTTTACTTAGTAGCTGAGTAGGTAATCTTCAACTTTTGAGGGCTAATACAATCCTACCTGAACCTTTTTGGGGCTAGGGTACTCAGCCCCTATAAGTTTAAAGAAGGCGAAAATGGTTAAACCTGAAGGTCGTAGGGTTCAGAGGCTGCGGTCTTTCTTTCCAAGAGCCCTGGGCCCAAGGCTTGAGGGTTAGTGGTTGATGGAGTGGAGACTTGAGGCGGTTTGGGTTGAGGGTTTCGGGGTGCAGATTGAAGGGTCGGAGTAGAGTTATGAAAATCTGGTTCTGCTAACACTGGGTTGGGGCGCAGAAGCCTAATAATCCGTTTAGAATCCGTTTTGGATGCATGGGGGAATGCGTTTGGTAATCCGTTTGGAATGCATGCGTTTTCGCAGGTCCGTTTTGGATGCGTGTTGGATCCGTTTTGGATGCGTTTTGGATCCGTTTTGGATGCGTTTTGGATCCGTTTTGGATCCGTTTGGGGCCCCAGCCCCGGAACACCAAAACGGATTTGCAACGGGCCCCAAACGGACCCCCTGACGGGTCCGCAGGCGGGTCCCCCAGGATGGGTCCCCGGCGGGTCGCCGAAACCACGAATCCCTCGAGAGGGATCCGTTTTTAATCCGTTTTGGATCCGTTTTAAATCCGTTTTGGATCCGTTTTGGATGCGTTTTGGATCCGTTTTGGATGCGTTTTGCATCCGTTTTGGATCCGTTTTGGGGTCCCGGGGCTTGGGTCCCCAAACGGATCCAAAACGCATCCAAAACGGTTCCAAAATGGATTAAAAACGGATCCCTTTTGAGGGATTCGTGGTTTCGGCGACCCGCCGACAAACCCGTCTGGGGGATCCGCCTGCGGACCCGTCAGGGGGTCCGTCTGGGGCCCGCTGCAAATCCGTTTTGGTGTTCCGGGGCTGGGGCCCCAAAGGGATCCAAAACGGACATCCAAAACGGATCCAAAACGCATCCAAAACGGTTCCAAAATGGATTAAAAACGGATCCCTCTCGAGGGATTCGTGGTTTCGGCGACCCGCCGGGGACCCATCTGGGGGACCCGCCTGCGGACCCGTCAGGGGTTCCGTCTAAACCCGTTGCAAATCCGTTTTGGTGTTCCGGGGCTGGGGCCCCAAACGCAACCCCACACGGATCCAAAACGGATCCGAAACGGATCCAAAACGGATCCCCAAACGGATCCCAAACGGATCTGAAACGCATATTTAGGAAATACAGCATTTCCAGAGTTAACAGGCAACAGATTTTCTTAGGAGTAGAGTGAGAGACTGAGAGAGTCGGAGAGAGCGAGAAAGAGAGAGAGAGAGAGAGAGAGAGAGAGAGAGAGAGAGAGAGCGAAGGTTGCCCTTCATGCACCTCTACCGTCCGTGGTACCGAAACCGATAGAAGTTCACTGCAGGGACCCCGCTTCAAGAGAGCTCTGCGACATCATCAGATCAAGAACAAAGCTTCGAAGCTTTGTGTCCAGAATACGGAGTCCTCTCAACTCTCAACCTCGAACCTGGCCTTAAGCGAACTTCTAAGCTCGGCCCTGAAACTTGCATTCTATGGGTACTAGTAGGAAAGTAAAACTGATGCTCTGTTAACCATCTCAAGGCGGCCTGAAACAGCAGTGGACTACCGAGATACATGGAAGATTTATGTCCACAAAACAGGCGGAGATTTTTCGCAGGCCTCGATCCGTGGAAGGGGAAGAGCTTTGAGACATGCGGAGAGCAGTGCTGTTTGTAATCCACAGACGGCTGTAATCAAAACAGCTACAGTAGCTACAGTATTCTTAGAACAAGCGCATCCTGTTGATGAGGACAAGTAGTCCATCTCGAGCCTTTTCGCAACCTGCTCTGAAAAGACCCGTCTCCGAGGAACTTAGAGCGCGTGGGTTTGTCGACTGCCAAAGCTGCAGTCCCCCTGCGGCGCCCGGCGAAGGCGCGCACAAGGAGCTGAGTTGAAACGAAGGGATGTCAAATTCAGAGACTACAGGAAGTGGAGGAACATAGACTCGGTGGCCTTAGAACCTCGGGCATGAGAAAGAGTGCAGGGATTCTTGAGGTTTTCAGGCGTCAGGAACAGAACATACATTTTCGTTTGGATGTCCGACTTCTTGCTTGGATGCTTACAACTGCGACGAACACGAGGACTGCTGCTGCTGCTGCTGCTGCTGCTCCTCTACCACTACTGCTGCTGCTGCTACGACGACGACGACGACTACTGCTACTGCTACGGCTACTGCTACTGCTGCTGCTGCTCCTGCAGACGACGACGAGTGTCACCACCTGACAGCAATTTCTATGCACCAGCATCACAACGGAGGCCACTTGCAAAGTTGTAGGTGTTTACCATACTTCATAGCTTTGACTAATTCGCTTACCGCAACCTCGCACGTATTGACTTTAGATAAGCATCGATAAGTGTCCACCAAACAGCCTTCGGCATTCAATCAATTATCGTGGTGGCCTTTGCTTAGTGCCACTAGTCAGTGCTTCAGTCCATGCAGTCGCTGGAACTCCATTCCCACTGGACTCTGGACCATGCAAGTCAGGATTTGTCGTTGCTGTTGCTGCTTTCCCTGTTGGGCATCCCATCCTTTGGCACATTGCTTCTAGTTTGATCGGTGCTGCTGCCGTGCTTCCTTGTTGCGCGGCTTTCGTGTTGCGATTGGTTTTTGAAGTGACTCTTGCCAACCGTGCCCAGGCATCCAGTTGTTCATGTTTCTTCGCGACCGCGACTCCCATTTTCGCACCGCTTGTTACATTCCATTGACAGTGATGTTCTTGGCCTTTGGCTGTTGCATGCTTCTGCATGTTGTTGCTGGGGCTCTGGCTAGTATTCCATGTTGCTTTGCTTTGGCTATTTCTGCTTACTGTTAGCAGTCGCATCAGGTATCCAGGGTAACGCTGCTCCTGAAGCATTTTAGTACTGTCTTCATGGTTTCTTAATGTCTTACAAGATATCATCTGCTGGTATCAGCGCTGTTCTCAGTTGTCAGCATGTGTCCTTGTTGTTGTTACACCGCTCTTTATGGTGCAGCAGTTATCACACCCCAAAATCAAGCAGAAACACTCCACCCAAAGCCCTAAACCCTACAGCCATAAACCCTAAGCCCATTCAACACCTCGTGAAGCAGAGAGGAAGGTTATCAAAAATCAAGTTCAAAAGTTGAAAACAATAAAACCCTAATAACCCGAATCCTAAGATGTGTTTGAGATGCCCTTTCTACAGGCGGCGACCTCAACGCCACGCAGTGATGCGGCGACCCAAGACCTTGTTTCATATCGGGGCTTTGATAAGGTTACAATGACGAGGGTTCTATGATATGAGGGCCTTAGTCGTTAGAGTAGGGCTTTGGGGTGTTTTCTATTGTGCTTATAATCAGGAGCCCTAAGGAACAGTAATATTCTTCATCATGACCCTTAGTGCAGATGTAGTTGAGGCAGTTCTTAAACGTATGATCCCTAGGCCCCAAACCCTAAACCAGAACCGTAAATGCAAGAACCCTGAACGATCGCCTACAGAGGCAGACTGGTTAGACCTCAAAGCCTCAATAAAGGGGTCGGGATGGTGTGTGGTATGCCTCGCTTACTTAACTCAGAACCCCAAAAGCTGCAACCTAAATTCCTAAACCGTAAGACCTTATATACTCATATATACAGACATATATATATATATATATAAACACTTATTTATTTATGTATGTATACATACATGTACATTTTATCTCTACTAGAACCCACATAGTAGCCCCCACGCCGCCCTTATAGTACGCGAAACAATAACCTTAGAAAGACGCAATTCTCAAACCCGGTTTAGAATGTTTAAAAGTAGGGACACCTCGTGCCGTTCGATGGTTCGTTTCGAGACATTGCGCTTAGGGTGTAGGTTTAGGGCATTTCGGGTTTATTGTGCAGAGTGTTGACTCCCAAGTTTCTTATGTTCGTCCCAGTGCCAAGGGCATGAAAAGCAGCAGGCACCCCGCCTTCCTTTGCACTGCAGTCAGTGAGTCCCAACCTCAGGCACCGCAGCTTGTGGCATGCACGGCTGGCTCTCAGTTTCAGGCTATGCCGCTGTCCTGAAACCCAAAACCGCAAGCCCCTTCTGGACACATGTGAGTCATGCAGAAGGAAAAGAGGCGACAAAAAAAACCGAGAACAACTGAACCCTAAATACCAAGTCCTAAACCCTAAGCACCAAGTCGTAAACAGATGAGGCCTAACAGCTGAAGCCCACTCCGGAAGTCCTCGACCCGGAACTGCTTCCCAGAGGAAGCCTTCAGGATCCCGCGAGGCAACCCGAGTCACGAAGATTAAGCTCGGCAACTGACTGAGTAAGCTTGACTCGATATATATATATATATATATATATGTATATGTACACGTATATACATATACATATACACATATATATATATACAATATACATCATCACACGTAATAGTAAGAGTACTCACAACAACAGAAACAAGAACAATAACAATGATAGTATTAATAATCATCATATCGGAGCCATCATGGGATTGCCGCATGGCAAATCTTCGGCAGCCACGGCAGTGAGTGTGGGGGAGACCCCCACTTTGTCAGAGACGACGTTGGAGAAGCTAGGTGGAGCTGATGGTCTTGTTCCCAGAGACTCCAATATCCCTTAATTCAGGAATATACCTTAAATCATATTAGGGATCATACTATAATTTAAGGTATATTCCTGAATTAAGGGATATTGGAGTCTCTGGGTTCTTGCGGTATCGGGGTTCTAGATGTTCAAGCTGGAGAGTATTGGGGCTTCGGAGTATCTTTGGGGCTTCAATGCTTTGGGGTATGGTAAGGTTTGGGCCCCTGAGCCGGCTTGTGGTGATGTCGCTTTGGGTTTTACAAGCAGAAACCCTTCCGACACGCAACGTCCATTCAATCAGATTACAGTAGAAGCCCAAAAGTTGGAAACCCCATAGCCTCAATCCTCAAGAATATGTATAGGGAATCCCAGCACTATTTGGCCTTAATCGGGTTTCCAACTTTATGGGGCTTACCGTATACCCTCACACCAACACCTTGTTGCTACCTCACACCCAAGACCTTGACGTTTACAGGTGTACTCCTCACATGGTGATAGGGTTCCTTGTTCAGAGCTCCTTGATCAACGGTTAAGTGCTACAGCATGCACCGCACCGGCTTTCTGGGAAGGTGCTGTTGTTTTGAAACCACTGGGAGTTTCAGAGGCTATGTGCCGCAAGATAGACCTGAACAAGACAAGCCTAGACAGAAGGACGCCGACAGAGGGACCCGGCCTTTTTGGCAACCCCTATGCTTCGACCGGAGCCCAGGATTGCCAGTGAACCTGGGCACTCTTCCGAGGAGAAAGGTCTTGGAGGAGGCGGGTGTTTGTTGCAAGACATTCTGGATGCGCTGGTGGTGGCTGTTGCATGGGTCTCACAGGATTCTGTTCGTAGACCTGAGGTGTTAGACTATTTGCCTTCGGGCTTTGCTAGGGTATGGTCATAGTAACATTAGTAGACCCTAAACCCTAAACCCTAAACCCTAAACCCTAAACCACTTACAACAGGAAGAAGAAGAGTATCTTTAACCCCGGCTCTGCTCTGCACTAGCATTGCAAGGCTCCCCAGTCGTTTCGTGTCCCATCCTGTTTGGGTTTGTGGTGTCGGGGCATCATCTGGGACCCCTGGGAAGCCCTTGAGCCCTGGATCCTAAACCCCACGCCCAAGACCCTGAACCCTAAACCCTAAAACCCTTTAAAAAAAAAAAAACCCTAAAACCCGCAAAAGAAAAAAATTGAAACCCTGAAGCCCTAAATCCTGAAACCCTAAACCCCCTTGCAGGTGCGGGCTCAGAGGTTCAGCGGGATGACTGGTCAAAGCCGGAATCCGAAGAGATGCTGCCGATACGGATCCTGAGTCCGGCTGGCGAGGTGCAGAGGGTTTCGGGGTTTCGAGCCCAAATTCAACTTAATCGATTGTTCATTGGGGCCTGTATAAAGTTCGGGCTTTTGGGATTTTGGACTTCAACTTAAGTCATTCTGTTGTATGGATCCTGTTTCTCAGCGCTTCTTTGCTATGGGTTAGGGGGATGTGGTGGTTTCTACGTATTTAGCAATATTTTGCCTTAGGTTCCTGTTTCTTACAAGCATAGAAGCAGTACAATCTGCACCAGAATCCGATTGTAATTCTAAAAAGCCCTATACGATAGTACCCTTACAGATCACTTATAGCGACCCTTATAGACCCCTTTACAGGAACCATTGTGCATGTTTCCAGGTCGTTCTCGCGGAAGAGCTGCCTGGCAGCAGAACAGTGAGGTCTGTGCTGCAGAGCCTCTCTGCCGGAGCCCAGGGAAGACTCACTCTGCTACTCGGCCAATTCGGTCTAACATCTGTTGCTGTTTCTGAATCTTGTTGTTTTTTTGCGTTTCGTGGTGGTTTACAGCTTAAAAGGGAGGTCATAGAAATGTGTATCGTTTGCCTTCCGTCTTCGACCGAGGCTACATGGCACGGAGGTGGTCCCGCAAGGCCGCCAACTCTCGGAGTTGAAGATCGCTGAAGAAGACCATCTGTGCCTTGTCAGAAGGTCCATCACCAGCTACACCCGTTTGGCGGCGACGGACCCAGACCAACAGTTGGTGAAATGCATCCTTATAGGAGGCCCAGAGACTGGCAAGACGTCCTGGTTCCAAGGATTCTGCCGCGAAGGTTTTCCCGAGAAATATCAGCCGACGACAGGCGTCAAGTTCAAGGTCTTTCCGATGCAGTCCGAGGACGGATCGAAACTGAAAGTACAGCTTTGGGACACCGCTGGGAACCTACCAGTCTCGAACGCATTCTACCGGGGAGCGTCTGGGTTTATAGTATTCTTCTCATTGCAATGTCGCCAGACCCTCAACACAGCCATCTGCATGCTGGCTGAAGCCATAAGATGTTACCCTGAGTGCTGTCGGTGTATATGTCTGGTGGCCACGCACGCAGACATTCCAGATCCGGACGTGACAGAAGAACAAGCCGAACGCCTTGCAAGTCAGAAGGGGTGGCCTTTCTTTGCCATCTCGAACAAATCTGAACCTTTTGATGCCCCCCTCTTCGCCTTGCTAGATCTTGTTATGATGAACCAGGACGAGCAGGCAAGTCGCTCATAGCGGCTGCCGTTGCGACTTCGGGCTTCGATTAAGACTACTTTAATTCAGTTCTTGGAAAGCCCGATATCCAAATTCAGCGTTCAACCTGACAGCTTGACAGCTCACAGAGCAAGTCATGTGAATCTTCGTTCCGGCCTCTGGCAAGCTGTGGAAAATGGTAATGCAGAAGTTCATGAGCGCGAGGAATGAACTAAACTGCGCACACACGGAGAGATCTAGAGAGTAGAGGCAGACTAGCAAGCACATGCAGTCACAGACACCCACACCCCGGCCCCGACATAAGCACACACACACACACGCGCACACACACACACACACAACCACACCAACACACAGACACACAGACACGCAAGGTCTGTCCCCGGGAGTTTCCCGGAACTACTTTCTGTTCAGGCCTTCGGAGGTTGGAATTTGAAGATCGTTTTTTCAACTTCCCGGGGTAGGGGGCTGGGGTTGGGGGGGGGAATAACGACAGGATGAAGACGACATGATGATGACAGCATGATGGTGAGGACATGATGATGATATGAACATGGCATGATGGCGACGACGATGTCGACATATGGTGATGACGCAATCATGATGAGATGAGCGTCACATGATGAGGGTAGCATGATGATGACGACATGGTTATGACGTGATGATGACGACATGGTTATGACGATGTGATGATGACGACATGATGATGCCTGCTGTCGCAATCCCAGTGACGCTTTCGGAGGACGGGCCTCCGTTGGAGGACTAGACAAGCTGTGGTGCCTTCATGCTCACTGCCGAGCCTTCAAACCAAAACCCCCTGAACAGTAAACATGCAAGAACGACTGTAGACCTCAAGCCTTGAATCCGTCTCAGGCTCTAAACCCCAAAGCCGCCAAAAACCAAGACTATCGATAATATCTGTAGTTCTCGAGATGTACGAAGTACTGCAAATACCAGCGAATCTGCTCGTCTTTTGCAAACGTACCGTGAAACACATGCTTTTCTTGATGTAGCTGACGTACTTCTCCGCACTCGCACACCACAATTAAAACCTTGAGTTTTCGTATGTTTTCTTTCAGGCATCAACACAAGAAACCTAGAACTTTCAACCGGAACACAACAAAATCCACGACTATGAGGGTTCTGTGTTCTGCCGAAGTGTACGAAGTGATGCAAATACCAATGAATTCGGTGCCCGCTTGCAAATACACCATGGAACCTAGGTGTTTCGTGACATTTTCCAGACTTGTTCCGCACTCACAAAAAACAAAACCTCGAGTTTTCCCATGTCTTCCTTGTCAGAATGATGCCTAAAACCTTGCTTTTTAAAATCTTCGCGCGCGCGCGCACGCACTTCCTAGCTATAAGTACGCGCGAAGACAACGCGTTCCGAATGGTGTAGCTCTGATGCGTAAGTGCCGGATCACTGATATTTGCGGTACTTTCGAGCTCTTGCAACAACTTCTTCTGTTATACTGCCCCATGGTCTCCGGGAACCCCCCCCGGAATTGCCACACACACACACACACACAAACACACACACACACACACACACACACACACACACGAACAACACACACACACACACACATATGCATGCCGCATGCCGCACTGGCTCACTCACGAGAGCTCGAGCCTACAGACACAGAGACACACCTACGGTCCCTTTTCTTTCTTTTGGTCGCTCTCGCTCTCGCTCTCTCTTTGTCTGTCTGTCTCGCTCTCTTTTCTCTCAGAGACGGACAGACAGAGAGACAGCCAGCCAGGCAGGCAGGCAGGCTGGCAGACAGACAGAAACGACCTAGGGAGAACACTTCTACCAACGAAAAGTCTTCCTTCAAGGCCCTAAACCCGACAACCCCAAACCCTAGCCCTGGAAAACTGAAATGGCACCAAGGAAAGGAACCCTAAACTCTAACCCTAAGCTTCTAAACAACTAAACCCCTAAGCCCCTAAACTCCACAACCCTAAACCCTAAACCCTAAACCCCTAAGCCCGAAACAGACCCGAGGCTCCCACGCCCAAGCAGAGACCTTCCACCCCGGGAGGCCCAGGGGAAGTTTAGGGTTTTTAGGTTGTAGAGTTTAAGGGTTTAGGGCTTAAGGCAACCGGGCTTGACGTTTCGAATGCCTAGGAGAGAGAGGGCTTAAGGCAGGGGGTTTGGGACTTCAGGGTGTAGCTAAGGTGAAGGGTTGACAGGTTTCAGGGCTTAAGGACTTAAGGTTTAGGGGCTTATAGGGTTTAGATCCAAGGGTAAAAGGAGGGACCCTTAATAAGGACCCCTAGGTATATACCCTTCATATAGCTCTTATATACCCATTATATAGCCCGTTATAGGGTAGGGGTCCCCATTAAGGGTCCCTCCTGTTCCCCTTTGATTAGAGCTTGATCTGGTTTAAGGTTTCGTAGGGTTTAGGGCCGCAGGTTCAGGGTTCACTTGTTACTTAGAGGCCCAGGGCACTTAGTAAGTTTGGGGGTGTTCTCTACCATCATTTGTAGGCCTCTACTATGACAGAAACCCTGGCGACTCCGTGCCGGCAACGGGGCTTACAACAGAAACTGTAACGGAACGTAGTGGAGCTGTAACGGATTTGTCGCTCAGCTGTAACGGACCTGTAAAGGAGCTGTGACGGAAGCTGTAACGGAGCTGCAGAAGCTGCAACGGAGCTGTAACGGACCTGCTACGGAGCTGTAACGGAGCTGTAACGGAGCTGTAACGGAAGCTGTAACGGAGCTGTAACGGGGCTGTAGTGTAGCGGGGCAGTAACGGACCTGCTACGGAGCTTTACCGGACCTGCAACGGAGCTGTAACGGAAGCTGTAACGGAGCTGTAACGGGGCTGTAGCAGAAGCTGTAGTGGGGCTGTAACGGACCTGCTACGGAGCTGTAACGGACCTGCAACGGAGCTGTAACGGAAGCTGTAACGGAGCTGTAGCGGAGCTGCAACAGGAGCTATAACGGAGCTGTAACGGACCTGCAACGGAGCTGTAACGGACCTGCAACGGAGCTGTAACAGAAGCTGTAACGGAGCTGTAACGGAGCTGTAGCAGAAGCTGTAACGGAGCTGTAACGGAGCTGTAACGGGGCTGTATAGCAGAAGCTGTAGCGGGGCTGTAACGGACCTGCTACGGAGCTGTAACGGACCCGCAACGGAGCTGTAACGGAAGCTGTAACGGAGCTGTAACGGAGCTGTAGCAGAAGCTGTAACGGAGCTGTAACGGACCTGCAACGGAGCTGTAACGGAAGCTGTAACGGAGCTGTAACGGAGCTGTAGCAGTAGCAGAATGCTGTACGGAGCTGTAACGGACCTGCAGCGGAGCTGTAACGGACCTGCAACGGAGCTGCAGCGGAGCTGCAACAGAAGCTATGACGGAGCCGTAGCAGAAGCTGCAGCGGGGCTGTAACGGACCTGCAACGGAGCTGTAACGGAAGCTGTAACGGAGCTGCAGCGGAGCTGTAGCAGAAGCTGTAGCGGAGCTGTAACGGACCTACAACGGAGCTGTAACGGACCTGCAACAGAGCTGTAACGGAAGCTGTAACGGAGCTGTAACGGAGCGGTAACAGAGGGCCCAGGGTGGGTAGCGCAAATCCCATAGTAAATGATGGTAGAGAACACCCCCAATAGTAAGTCGGACAGAAGTAGGGTTATGATTGGGGTGAATCCATGTAGGGTACTTATAACTCTACTTGTAACCTACTTACTAAGTCCCCTGCGCCTATAAGTAGGGGGTTAGGCTTGAAGGGTTCGTGGTTTGGGGTCTGGGTTTTTGAGTTGCGATCCTTCGGGCTTCCGGCAGGATTCCTTTATCTCCCAGGGTCGAGTTTGGGATTCAAATCCCCTAAACCCTAAACCCTAAACCCTAAATTCTAGGATCTTCGGGTTGTAGTTTAGCGGCTGGGCTTTAGCCTCGGTGGTTTTGAATCGCAGGGTTTGCAGGTTGAGGCACCTTTATTCGGCGATGCGTGTTGTGTTGTGGTATGTTGTGGTGATATTCAGACCATTGTACAAGTCCTGATGCAAACAGGGTGCCAAAATTGAAAGATGCACAGGGTTCAGGGTTTGTGGGTTTGTGGGCTTGGGCTCAAGACGTTTCATGCGTTGGGTTCGTGGTTGAGCTGCTGAGGGTCGTAGGACTAGGACGACTGGGAAGGCTGTTGGGTTTATCGTTCAAAGTTGAAAGAGATATGTTGGTGGGTGTTCTGGATGGGATTTAGTTCGGGATTAGGGTGTAATTAGGACGAGCATGTAAAGGTCTATGCGAAAAGAGTCTACGAGCATCGACGACAGAAAGACAGGAGTTGAAGTACATCAGGGTTCCGCAACTTAAACCCTGCCTTTGTTTAGGGTGTGAAGCCGCCTTTGCCCACACCTGGCCCAGCAGCCTTGGTCCGAGAGAGCGTAAGAAGCCGTAACTTACAAAGGCTGTGTTGGTTGGGCGACTAGCGGCTTGCAGTAATTGCCAAGCAGATGGCAATGCTTCAGCTTACTTTAAGCTGCAAAGGCTTACGAGTCTTACGAGAACTTGATACATAGGTCGAAGCAAACCATGGGTCAAATCATCGGCGGCAGCGCCTCCGCAAACACAGCTGCGCAGGGAGTCGAAGACAGTGACGATAGGCCCAGATACCCGGAAGACGAGATACACCGTTCAGATCCTCAAGATCTTCAGCTGTTCCAACTACGCATCTACACTCCGTCCGGTGATGTGCTTTTAGACCAGAAGCTGCCTGGAAGCAAAACGGTGCGGTCTATTTTGGAGACCCTCCGCACAGAAAAGCGTGGCAGCCTCTCGCTGCTACGAGGCACCGAGGCAACTAGGTGGAGCTTTGGGACGTTTCCCGTATGGTTCCAAAGAGGTATCTGTTTCATAGTTGTTTAAAGGATCCTTTAAACAAGTACAAGACCCAGGTGATCCCACAAGGCAAGAAGCTATCGGAGCTGAACCTCAGTGAAGGGGAGGGCCTATGCCTTGTCAGAAAAGCCACAAGCAACTACACCTTTTGGGCTGACTGCGATTGCGCCCAATTTCGTTTGGTAACGTGTCTTCTGGTCGGAGCAGCGAAAACCGGCAAGTCTACGTGGATGAAGGCCTTGCGGAGAGAAGATTATACTTCTCAGTACAAGCCGACCATCGCCGTGGATTTCAATTGGTGTTCCCTTCAGTCTGAGGATGGCCTCCGCTTGAAAATACGGCTTTTGGACACAGCTGGGCAGCAACGATTTCGGACAATCACAGATGCCTACTACCGAGCGGGCTCGGGAATCATGGCGTTCTTTTCACTGCACAGTCGTGAGTCCCTGATTGAAGTCCTTCGAATGTTGGAGGAAGCAGAGGGCAGGCATCCTCTTTCCTGTCGATGCGTTTGCTTGGTCGGGACCCATGTAGACATTCCGGATCCTGAAGTGACACAAGAGGAGGCCGAGCAGCTTGCACAACAGAAGGGCTGGCCATTCTTTGCAACCTCGAGCAAATCTGGAGTCAACATTGAAGACCCTCTTTTCGGTTGGCTGGACATGCTTCGTGGCGAAGTGATTTGCCGGTAATGGCAATGGGCCCTGAACCAAGCTAAGAAAAGCTCTTCGTGCAGTGCAGGAGCTCTCGAATCAGTTTTTGAGCCTTTCGATGTTGAAAACAGCATCACGACACTGGTACTGCTAGTAACAGCAACGATAAGCATAAGGCCTGCGTTCGAAATCGATCAAAACTCTAAGACATACATTCTAGACCCACATTAGCTGGTTGGCAGCACATGTCCGCGGAGTTGTCCGTTTGTCGCACTTCCGGTGGCACGCTCCAATGCCGATCTCGCAAGTGTTTGGGACAAAGAGTAGGGTTTTTGGGGTGTGCGACTGTGTTCAGAACATCGAAGCCAACATAGTGCTCTGACCACTGAGGGCGACTTGGCATGCCGACTGCACAGTCTGCGTCGTAGCACATTTTGGCCATTCTCCGAGAGTCCTTATGACAAGTCCTTCCTTCTGTTGTTGGTGGATGTTTGAAATTTGAGGCACTTTTTGAGGGGTCGTTTCGATAGGGATCCTAAAGTTTCGACTGTTCAGAAGTGACATGTCGTTTCCTGAAACTGCCATGCCAAGCGGAGTCCGAAGCTCCAACGAAATCCTAAGCTGCAGGCAGTAAATCCTAATGGCATCACGGGCTCTGAATCAGTGGTACGAGTATCCCCTTTTATGGTTGCTTTTTGTTTAATGTGCAGTGTTCATTACGTGGAGTCCGAAGCTCCAACGGAACCCTAAGCTGCAGGCAGGCGTATTCTTCATTGTTTTGTGCTTATTGGTTATTGAGTGTTGTTGTTGTTGTTGTGGTGGTGGTGGTTGCGCTGGTGCTGGTGGTGTTGTCGTTGTCGTTGTCGTTGTCGTTGTCGTAGTCGTTGTGGTTGTGGTTGTGGTTGTGGTTGTGGTTGTGGTTGTGGTTTTGGTTGTTGTTGTTGTTGTTGTTGTTGTTGTTGGTGGTGGTGGTGGTGGTGGTGGTGGTGGTGGTGGTGGTGGTGGTGGTGGTGGTGGTGCTGTTGCTGTTGCTGTTGCTGTTGCTGTTGCTGTTGCTGTTGCTGTCGCTGTCGCTGTCGCTGTCGCTGTCGCTGTTGCTGTTGCTGTTGCTGTTGCTGTTGCTGTTGTTGTCGTTCTTGTCGTTCTTGTCCTTGCCCTTGTTCTTGTTATTGTTCTTGGTGGTGGTGGTGGTGGTGGTGGTGGTGATGGTGGTGGTGGTGGACGGAATCACGACATGTTGCACTCTCTCCAGTCGAGTCCTGCCCACTCCACCCCACCCAACTGATCCCAACCGTACCCTTCGACTTCGGTCCAGTGCACTCCACTCTAAGAGCAAATCCCTCAGTCAGTCTGTCAGCCAGTCAGTCACTCACGCACGTACGCATGCACGCAGGCAGGCACGCATGCACATACGGCACCTCATGCACGGCAGGCACCGGACGCACGGCACTCACTCCACTCACACTCACTGCTTAGCTCCTAACCAAGAAACGGGAGTGGCCCACATTCAACAAATCTGCAGCTACTGAATTAGAGTGCACG